ACTTCTTCTGAATAACCAAAATGCCCAGGGTGATGATATTTGGCCAGTAACATCCTGAGATGAAGGGCTACAAAGTTTGTTCAAATCAATGACCTTCACCCATATTCAAGGTCACAGGGGTCAAATATGTTAAAAACTTTAAACAACTTCTTCTGAATAATTAAAATGCACAGGGTGATGGTATTTGGCCAGTAGCATGCTGGGCTAAAGGGCTATCAAGTTTGTTCGAATGAATGACCTTCACTTATATTCAAGGTCACAGGAGTCAAATATGTTAAAAACATTAAACAACTTCTTCTGAATAACCAAAATGCATAGGGTGATGATATTTGGCCAGTAGCATGCTGGGGTAAAGGGCTATCAAGTTTGTTTTGAATGACCTTCACCCATATTCAAGGTCACAGGGGTCAAATATGTGAAAAACATTAAATAACTTCTTCTGAATAACCAAAATGCACAGGGTGATGATATTTGGCCAGTAGCATACTAGGATGAAGGGCTACAAAGTTTGTTTAAATGTATGACCTTGAATCATATTCAAGGTCACAAGGAGCAAATATGCTCAAAATATTTAAACAACTTGTTCTGAAAAACCAAAAGGCTCAGGATGTTGATATTTAGTCAGATCAAGGACTACTATGTTTGTTAAAGTGAATGACTGACTTATATTCAAGGTCACAGGGGTCAAATTTGTTTAAAATCTTTAAACGACCTCTTCTGAATAATCATGGGTCCCAGGATGTTGATACTTTGCAAGTTGCATACTGAGATGAAAGGCTATACAATTTGTTCAACATAATGACTTGGTCGACTTTCAAAGTAACAGGGGTGAAATGTTTTAAAATCTTTTAACAGGTTCTTTTGAATAACTTAAATCATAAATACTGATATTTTGCCTGTAGCTTTATTTTAGATCACTTTTAAGGTTGCAAGTGTGAGATTTATACCAGGTGAGCGATGCAGGCCCATTGGGCCTCTTGTTTAGTTTAAAAACAACAATACTGTACTGTTCCTCAATAAGAGTAGAGCTGAATTATGATATATGAAGATATAATGGTTTGAATGCTATTTGACAGAAATTCCATCGCCACTTTGGTACAGTAATATTAGGGATAGGGACATGCCTAAACATCCATTAGTTGACTTTCAAATTTTACAGTTTCTCAGAAAGCCTGCAGAAAATCAAGAATCGCCATTCTAAAGTCGTGGAAACAATGGCCCAGGTTTGTATCTGTGTAGAACAGCCTGGATTAACCTAACAACCATATTGTATATCTGACTGACCCCTCAGTAGAATGCTTAAACACCGATTAGATTTGTATTTAATTAGAATAATAAGTTTTGTATGGATGAAGATGATAATGCTTTGAGACTAAGTGATGTATCTGTAGACCTACAGTATTTAATATTGCAATGGTAGATATTTGTCTACCACTTAAAAACTAGATAAACCAATGACCCTAAAAATATTATATTTCATGTTATTAATTTTAAAATACTTTTTACCTATAATTATAACAATACATACGACATAAGGAAAAAAGGCCTTTATAACAAGTGCTACATAATACACAATGTGCATCTTAGAAAGGCTCTAACATAATTGAGGAAAAGCCCTTGAAATAGTAATAACCATCTGTTTGTGAGATATTCTTGCTACAACATGTACCTGTACATGTATTAGCTACAAAGTATACCAGTCCTGTAATTGCAGTATAAAGCGTTTCGGTAAAGATTTATATGGAAATATTTGAAAATGAAATATTCACCGATAATGAATGCACCAGACTGGACTTAATTTGTTACCAACCATATCAAGTATAATGCTTTAGTTAAGGGTAACATGGTATCATGTGGTAAATAAGGAAATTAGAAAGTTTCCCCCATATCCCCATGTAGTCAAGATTAATATACATTATCATGATGATTCAAAACATGCTCTGTTGAGATTTAGGGTGAAGAATGTGTGAATTTCTGACTAAAATTTCTGACATAAACAGTATATTATTTGTCAAGCAATTGCAAAGTATTTCTATGTTGAAACTATAACAAGTCTTTTGTTTTCTCACAGGGAGTGCTGGAATTACAAGAGACTTATCCATCCTACTACAACTTTACAAATGTCAACACTAACACAGATGCGATACGATACTTCCTGGATAGGTTCCTCTTATCTCGCATCAGTATACGGATGCTCATCAGCCAGCATGGTGAGGAAACATGTCTGTGGCACTAAGTTCTAAGACATTTGTGTTCAGACATAGAAGCGCAACACCTATTGTTGATATGGGTGGATGGACTTAGGTCCAACTTATAAACAGGATTTCATAATAATCATATTCCGTCTTTGCGTATTGCAGAGTTATCTTCTCTTTGGAGCAGGTATTGATTGTTACGTCACTTGTTTGTGAGAGTAACGACATCAATTTTTGAGGAAAAACGACTTAATTTTCTCACACAGACCAATGACGTAACAATCAATACCTGCTCCCAAGAGAAGATAACTCTGCAATACGCAAAGACGGAATAGGTACTAAGGTGCCTATGTGGTACCCTGTGGTGTCTTGTCACTGCCGAATCAAAATCCCCAGTGATGAGTCGCTGTTTATTCTGCTTCTCCTTTGTGTAAATACAGTATGCTTAAGTACCTGAGTGACCTCCCTTTACAGAGGCTGGCCTCCTTCTCTCTGCTTGAATTCTGTGTCAAAACTAGAAAAATCAATCACTAATTGCAGTGTGATTAGAAGTATTTCTCTTCACCTGTTAGAGTCACAATTGGATTCTTCAGTATCAACACTTCCTATCTTTTAGCACCCAAATTACCCAAGTCATGCAAGGACTGTTCTGTAAGTGATCATAATTTGTTTCACAGACTCACAGTAATGTTATAAGATGGGTCCTAACAGTTTAACTAAACTAGTACATTTCACACTATGCTTCCATATTAATACCATGTGGTTGCTTTCCTCAGCCTGATAAAATAGAATATTGGCCAAGCAGATTTTTTTTTACGGTACATGTAGATCTATCGGTACTTTTAGACAACTTAGGCATGCATATCCTGAATAATGTAGGAGTCCATTTCCAATTAATTAAATTTAATTAAGAGAAATCCTTCTTTGGAGGTCTAATAAAACTGGAGCTAAGAAATAGTGTTTTTAATTGCTAGTGAGATTTAGTTTAAAAAATTCCCTTTGTAACCATCTTTTTACACTGTCTATATGTTCAATAGCATGGCTTAGAGTTTTTTGTCAATAAACAAAGCAGGCAAATAAACAACACTCTGTGAAACTCTTTTTTAACGAGTTGAAGTCGACAGATTTAATATTTCACTCACTTGTTCATTGTACATTGTATATATAACAATGACCTCATTACATGTAATTACCAGCCAGGGTCGTTCATAAGAGCTATAAAGCAAGAACTATACCTAATATGTTTAAACCTCTGTGTGTTGGTAGGCTTTCCACTCCTGTCATAATGGGTAACATGTATCAGACCTTACACTAGTTGTGAATTTCTTGTTCATTTCCAGGCAGACCTTGGTCAAAATATTGAAAGTTGACATGAGATTTAATGAAAGCCTTGGCTTGAAGGAACTAGTGATTGTGTATTTTAACTAAAATAATAAGATATGGAACAGAAGGAGAGATACGTTAAGAAGTCACCACAGTTGTAGTTACATTATGTGTTTCAGTGCTGTTGTACGGTTCTCAGACAGTAGACAATCCTCACTACATTGGTACAATAGACCCTGAGTGTGACGTCGCTGATGTTCTACAGAGTAAGTATACCACACTCAAAATTACTACAGAGTAAGTATAACACACTCAAAACTACTACAGAGTAAGTATAACACACCCAAAATTACTACAGAGTAAGTATAACACACTCAGAATTACTACAGAGTAAGTATAACACACTCAAAATTACTACAGAGTAAGTATAACACACCCTAAATTACTACAGAGCAAGTATAATACACTCAAAATTACTACAGAATATATCAAATAGATGAAATTAGGTTTCTGCATTTTTTTAAAGGCTAACTTCCCTTCATTTTTGTGTCTACATTTTTGTGTGTTGAGGGGGGGGG